TAAAGTTTAAAATACATAGATTGCTTACAAACTTCAGTCCAGGGCCTTCTCTCTTTCCTGCTCCAGCAGAAGCAAAACCGGCCCTCACCTCCCCTCCCCTCTCAGGTACAGAAAAGCCCTCCTTGCCCAGATAGTTACCCATTGACAGGGGATTAACTTCTCTACCCCTGAGGAATGATGCAAATGCACTAAAGCCATACTTCTCTCCACCCTTGAGCACCTGTTGATATGCAGATGTAGTAAAGCCAGGCGAGATATTTTGGAAATATTACAATTTTACCCACATATGGTCATCCTTTACTTTGTACCCCAAATCAGTCTTGGGAGATTATTTACTTACTCCTTATTTACTTCCTGACTTCTACCAAGCGTTTGAACTCATTTCCACCACAAGAGGGCAGCCGTCTCTAAAAAACAACCAGAGCTCCTGGATCTTAAGAAATAGGAACATGTAAGAAGTTGTGCTGGGGAAAGGCATTCAGCAGCTCCTCAGAAATCACATATCACACAAAAAAAGATCCTTTGAAGGGCAACACTGAAATGGAATAACGTATCCAGAAGGGCCAGTTTTCCCCTCGATTCTTGACTAAGGAAGATTATTTCATCAACTGACAAGGTTCCCATTTCACAAGTTAGGAAGGCCTAAAGCTGCAAGACATCCTTGATATCATCACCAGAAATTTGTTTTTGAGGGGCATCTAACGACTATCAACTTTCTCCTCCTCTTTAAAAGCTGCATACTGGTTTTGTATTCATAGAAGTTTTGTTTTTTGTAAGTCTTGCTGATGACAGAAACATTTGTTAACTTGACAGGGAAGGAAATTGTTTCGGAAGCACAATAAACACTCGACTTCACTGTCTTATGAGTAGAGTGTATTCTATTGCCAACTTGTTTTGTGTCCAATGATTCAGAGTGACAGTCAACTAACATAGTCTTTTATTTTCAGGGAGAAAAAAAAAGCATGTTCCTGAATATTCCCTGTTCCCCCATTTTTTTTCCTAGTAGGTGGGCTTCCTCTGAAAATCCTTATTTGACCTTGTGCTTTCAGAAACAGCAAGTGCCTAATTCCCCTCTGTGGGTTGCTGATCCAATTTATGTGAGCAGAACCTAGAAATTTTTTTGCTCCCAACTGAAAAAATAATACACCTGCATAATAGATTGGTAGGGCTTCCACTTAACGACTTTTCTCCTTTCGCTTCGCAGGCTGAAGGTTCTGTGCAGGTGAACCTGACCTTGCCAACCATCATTTCCAGAAACTTTCTGCCCTTATCTTCTGGGATCATTTGGGCAACCCCTCAGGCTATGCAGAGAGGATCCCGGAATCCTGGGAGGTTGGCCTAAGCCTCAACACACTGTAGTGCAACAGATCTGGGGAGTATTTCATCTGAGGAAGACAGGTGACTGGACCATATGTCATCAACCTGCTGCTGAGGCCTGGTGGAAGGGAATGAGGCAGAAGGTTCTGAGGGCTCAAACCAGAATTGTCTTCTGTGGTTGGCTCACACCATGCATTATTTCACCTTCCTCTGAGCTGCTAATCACCTGCCTGCCTGCGAGCTAGGCAAGTTAAATATCAAAAGGCACGAAGTGATTGCTACCATAAAAATAAATCAGATCCCTTTCATTTTCTCTTCACGCCTGCACACACACACACAGACAGTCCACATTGCGCATTGCGCATGTCTTGTATAATAGGATGACATCCATTTCACATACATATTTACAGGAGTGTGTGCTTTTGTTAGCATATATTTACATATATGGATCTTTATAAAGACATACATGCATATATTTGTGTTACATATATATCTGAATAAAGCACGTGCATGCTTATATAGATGTAAGTACGTACATATGCATTCACAAGTGTAAATAATAACTTTCTGTTAATTCTCCCATCCCGGGAAACACAGTTGTGCCTACTCCAAGTCAATGCCAAGATGCCTTGTAATTTGATTGAGGTTTATTGGGTTTTTTCCTCTCTTTTTAATCGTCTATTGCCGAAAAACTTCTAACTGAAAGTTGAATAATGGGTCGGGTGGGGAAGTAAAGGCTGGCCCCGTATTTGTGCCGTATTCCGCCCAGGGAGTCCCAGCGAGGGGCCGGCGCTCCAGCTGATCTCGTTCTGAGTCTGGGGGTGGAGGCGCGAGCACCCCGCGCGGCGGCCACGCGTCCCCGCCCTCGGCACCACCCTGCCGCGACTCTCCCTGCGCGCCGTTCGCACCCCCGCGCTCCTCTCCCGCACGATCGGGGCTCCCCGGCAACCCGCGCAACTGAGAGAGAGGTGTTCGGCCTGGGCGGCGAGGAAGACGGCAGGCAGCGTCCCCTTTAAGAGCCGCGAGCGCCGCTGCCGCCGCCGCCGCCACTTCTTATGGCTTTCACTTCTTATGGCTGAATATTATTCCATTCTGTATATGTACCACATCTTCTTTACCCATTCATCTACTGATGGACACTTAAGTTGCTTCCATTTCTTGGCTATTGTGAATATTGCTGCAATAAACATAGGGGTGCATCTGTCTTTTTCAAACTGGGCTACTGCGTTCTTAGGGTAAATTCCTAGGAGTGGAATTCCTGGGTCAAATGGTATTTCTATTTTGAGTTTTTTGAGAAACCTCCATACTGCTTTCCACAATGGTTGAACTAGTTTATATTCCCACCAGCAGTGTAGGAGGGTTTCTCCACATCCTTGCCAACATTTGTTGTTGCATGTCTTTTGGATGGTGGCTATCCTTACTGGTGTGAGGTGATATCTCATTGTGGTTTTATTTTGCATTTCTCTGATGACTAGTGATGTGGAGCATCTTTTCATGTGTCTTTTGCCCATGAATTTCTTCTTTGGAGAACTGTCTGTTCAGCTCCTGTGCCCATTTTTTAATTGGATTATTTGCTTTTTGTTTGTGCACAGCAGTCTCCTGATACTCCGAGGGCTTTTCTCCAAGTTTCTTTTTCTGAGAGGTTGTAACTTAGTCTGAAAGTCACCATAAATCACCATGGGGCTGTGGGCTGGGGAAGGCCCCAGGGAGGACGGGAGAACATTCCCCCAAGGGGACCACAGCCACAAGAGGCCGAGCCTACAAATCAACCTGAACCAGGTGGTGCCCAGCACCACCCTGGACACGGTGGGCATTGAGTCATGCTCTCCAAGCCTTTCAGCTCCACCTTATGGGACCTGTCACATGTCCCTAGAGAACTGGGCTGGGGATAAGGACGCATCAGAGGCAAAACCCATCCTCCTTATCTCAGTTTTGTTTTATGAGTTTCATTAGAAAAATTACAGGGGGGGAAAAAACACACAAAGTTAAAACCAACAATAATCCCACATGGATTTTAAAATGGTGTAAAATTAGAGTGAAGCCTATCTTCCCCCCTCCCAGTCCCCAATGCCTGCGCTTCCAGTTGCAGCCCCAGGGATAAAAGTTTGCATTGTTCTTCCAGATTTTCCTTATATTTCTACACATAACATTCATTTTATAAGAGTGTCAGCATGCTAAGTGTAGCAAGTAACAAAACGTGTCCTCTTTTTGGTCATCACTGCCCACCAGCCCAGATGCAGTGATGGCTGCATGGAACTCAGCCGCATGGACCGCTCTGAGTTAGCTCAACTTTCCCCCTCTGTCCACATGTACATTTCTTTCCAATATTTAGAGCTCTTGCCAGTGGCCTTGCAGGGATGTATTTGTGTTGGCAAGATACCAGCCATGAGCTGGGAGGGGACAGGAAGCCGCCCATGGCTCAGCCGGATCATCACACTGGGTGTCTGACTGGGAAGTGTGTGGGGGCAACTCCCTCAGGGAAGAATCCCAAGGTCAGGCCTAGGGTCCTGGGAATGGACGGGGGTGTCCACTCACCAAATAGCACAATCAGGAAGGAGCTAGCCCCTTTTCGAACCTATCAGAGAGACAGAATCACAGCTGGAAAAGAATGGGATGTGATGGTAAGTGAGAATATTTTCAGAGCAGAACGTGTAGCTCTGATGTAGCCAAACCTTCGAGCATTTTTAAAAAAGTCCTGCGGAAAGACTTGGAGGCCATTTGGCTGGGTAACGGTTCTCACCACCAGCCTTGAGCAACTGATGCATGGCTAACACTCAATATTGTCTTTTAACAAGACTTGGGGTAGGCAAAGAGCTCTCAAACCAAATATAAAAAGCACTTGCCATACGGGAACAATGATATATTTGATTCATCAAGAGCTTCCCTTCATCAAAAACCTGTATTAAAGAGGGAAAAAGCAAGCCACCCATAAATCCAAGGGTTCTGCAAACTCCCAGCCCTACATTCATTGCTCGGGACAGGCACAACGACACCAAAAAAAAATAACACTTTTTTATTGTGGTAAAATCTAAGTTTAGTTTACTATTTGAACCTTTTTAAGTATACAGTTCAGTGGCATTAAGTACATTCCCGCCTGCCGGGGGAACCACCCAGTCCCCGGAAGCCCCGTCCTTGGCGGCGCCGCTCCCGCGGTCAGGCTCCCAGCGGCGCTCTCCCGCCCTCTGCCCCGCCCCCTAGCCTGTGTCCCCTCCCCACCATTCGGTTCTGCCCCGGATGGCCGTGCAGCCTCTCCCTACCCCGCTGCGAAGCCCGGTCCGTTGGCTACGTGGCCACGCCCCGGGCAGCGCACTCCCGCCCGCTCCCCGCTCCCGGTTTGCGCAGCCCCGCCTCCTCTGCGTGCCTTGGAGACGCTCGTGGCGTGCGCTGCGGCGGCGCGCAGAGGGGTTCCGGCAGCCGTTATCGCTTTGCTCCTGCGCTGGCGCGGTCCTGGCGGCGAGCCCTTGCCGAATGAAGCGCCCCGCAGCGTGACCGCAGGGGCCCAGCGGAGGGCGCAGGCGAGGCCCAGACACGGACCCCAGCTGCGCACAGCCGCCCGGCCCGGAGCCAGACGGGCCCCCTTACCCCCGTTGCTAGGCAGCCGCGTCGGGCGTGGGAGGGGAGGGGTCTCCGGCGGTGCCACGCCATGGACCAGTACTGCATCCTGGGCCGCATCGGAGAGGGTGCGCACGGCATCGTCTTCAAGGCCAAGCATGTGGAGGTGAGCGGACCGCGGGTCCATTTCCCCCAGTCTGGGGCCCACCGTTTGGGGAACCCACCTTGGCCCCCTGACGTCTGCCTCCCCGCAGCCCGCCACCTTTGACCCCTTCAGTGGCGGATGGTTCAGGCTGCAGCCAGCCGCCCCCCCCTCAGCGACGCTACGGTGGTTATCCTGCGAGGGTCCCCTAGCAGCTTGGCGTGAGAGTGTGTGAGCTGTTTGCCAAGTGCTGCGACAGCTGGGTCCCAGGCTGGACCTTCTTTCCCTCCAGAACGGGGTGGGGGATGCTTCCCACCCCCTCGAGGGCCTCAGACCGCTGCGCCCCATCCAGATGGGGCCTTTCTCGTCTTAGCGTATTTGCCGGCCGGGATGGGTGGCAGTGTTTGTGTTCTTCCCACGCAGACTGGGGAGATCGTTGCTCTCAAGAAGGTGGCTCTGCGGCGGCTGGGGGATGGCATCTCCAGTCAGGCCCTGCGGGAGATCAAGGCCCTGCAGGAGATGGAGGACAGTCCGTATGTGAGTGAGGCTGGGCTCTGGAGGCCCGTCCTCCCTCCTGCACGCCCTCCAGTTTATCCGGTCACTTAGTGCCCTTCCTCGTCCGCCTGGCCCCCCTCATTCACCAGTTATTGCGTTCCTCACTTCTTCCCTCTCGCATTCACAAACTCATTTTTTCATTAACTCACCCATTCACTTAGTCACTAACTTACTCTTTTTCTTCTGTAACATTCAGTGATTTCTAACAGTAGTGGCAACCGCCTCCTGTGGCCCTCCTGTCAGGTTCCGCAGGCTGAGTTACCTGTTACCCTGCACTGCCATTCTGAGTTCACCGCCTCACGGGGCAGGTTTCAGGGTCTCCCTCCTGGGGCCCAGCGGGGGGAGACTCAGCCGCGACCTCACTGGCACTGGGTCACGGACCCTTTGGCCCAGGTCTGATTGAGGAGTCCAGAAGCCGACCTCGGGGCTTCCCGTAGACCCTACCCTGTGCCAGGCACTGGCCTCAGCCTGGTTCTTGAGAATATCAGTGTGCCAGGGAAGGTGAACAGGCCACAGGGCACACCTGGCGTGGCTCGTGCTGAGGGGGGACTGGAAGTGGCTCTGGGCGCAGGAGGAGGGAGACCTGCCTCCAGCCTCCTTGCTCCCCGTGGTATTCTCAGCCCTGGGGAGTCACAAGGATGGGTCATGTCCTGCCCTGGTGAGTTTGTCATTCTCTGGAGACGTCCATGATGTATCGGGTGACAAAAGCCCGTGTCCCCCTGGTTTTGTGTGTGTGTCTTTGTATGCCATGTCTGTTGTGAAGTCTGGGAGAATATACTGTAAGATCTATTGTAGGTAATAGGACTTTTCTTCTTTTCTTTTCTTTTTTTACGATTGTGTGCATTTTCTGAATGTAGGTGTATGTTGTGATCTGAAAAATGACCATAAGCCTATCGTCAGAAAACCAGTAATAGTAGCATTCCTGCTATTCAAGGAGAGTCAGAGGGCTGCAGACAGCCGTCATGTGGAAGAGGTGGAGGGCCTGGGAGGGGGCTGGGGTCGTGGGCCCAAGTCCTGCGGATAAGCAGTTTCTATCTCAGGAACACTCCAGAGTTGACCCTGCACAGGCCACCACCACCTCTCAGCAGAAGAGCTGCAGCCACCTCCCCAGGGCTTTGCCCTCGCTACTGCCAGAAGTGCTGTGTGGATGAGGTCGTCTGCGCCCCTTCCTGAAATGCCCCAGTGGCTTCTCTTCACACTGAGGGTCCGCTTCTGCATGCCTCCAGCCTCTCTCCATTCACCCGGTGCGCTTCTTAAGCGTCTCTCTCTGCCGAGCACTGTCTAGGCTCTGGAGTGCAGAAGAGCAGGCATCCTTCCCCTGGGAGCCCACAGGCTTCCGTCCCTCCAGCCCCCTCCCTGCGCCCTCATCGTGCTTGCTGCCCCTCTGCCTGGAGCTCCTCCTAGAACCAGCCCCGCCCCACCTGTTCTCCTGTCCTCCTCAGAACCTGGACCTGTGCGCTGACTTGTTCCTCATCTATCAGGCATGTCTCCCCTGTGCACTGAGCTCCCTGAGGCCCCTCGGGACCTGCGGGCCTTGCTCCTGCTCACTACGCTGAGGGTGGCCTGGCCCCTCTGGCCCGTGGGCCCTCCTGTGCTGTGTCAGCTGGCCCCATGCCCTCTCGGTGCTGGGCCTTAATGGGCCCTAGAGGAAATGGGGGAGGCCTGGACATGCGTGTGGGGGACTGTCCAGGTGATTTGCCAGTTCGTCGGCTGAGTGGGGAACCAGGCGCTGCCCTAAGTGGCGTGCCCTAGGTCTCCTTTCCCCTGAACATAAGTTGGGTGTTAGGGAGGTGACCCCCCTTTTCTCATGAGAGCAGAGCAGCAAGAGCACTCTGAGCTCCCTGGGACTGAGCTCACATCTCGTGTCACCCCCTCTGCCTGCCTGGTCCTGTTAGCGTGAGGCCTGGGGGTCGCAGGGGGAGTCTTAGTCGTGTGAGCGCAGAGGCTGACAGGGAGCCTACCTGCAGGTGGTGCAGCTAAAGGCTGTGTTCCCGCATGGCGCGTGCCTTGTGCTGGCCTTCGAGTTCATGCTGTCAGATCTGGCCGAGGTGCTGCGCCACGCCCAGAGGCCGCTGGTCCAGGCCCAGGTCAAGAGCTACCTGCAAATGCTGCTCAGGGGCGTTGCCTTCTGCCACGCCCACAATATCGTGCATCGGGTCAGTCCTAGCATGGGCTGGAGTAAGTATGGTCAGAGGGGTCGGGGCCTGTGGCTGGGTCCTGGAGAGGGTGGGGCCTGGGCTGAGCTGGGTGCTCAGCTTGACATACTTTTCAAGCCGAGGCCCTCTGGGGCCTCTAGGGGTACTGATGCCTCCTTTGGTGCCCACAGGACTTGAAACCAGCCAACCTGCTCATCAGTGCCTCGGGCCAACTCAAGATAGCAGACTTTGGCCTGGCCCGGGTCCTCTCCCCAGATGGCAGCTGCCTCTACACACACCAGGTGGCCACCAGGTAGGGAGGGCCAGTCCCCAGACAGGGCCTGGCAAGTGACAGGCCCTGACCCTCTCACTGTGGAGGAGATGCTTCTGGACCCCGTGGGGCTGGTGTGGGGCCTGGGTGACTTCCAGGGCAGCCTTCTGTCAGGCTGGTGACCTGGCTATGAGCATGCCCCGTGTTCCTCACAGGTGGTACCGAGCCCCCGAGCTCCTGTACGGGGCCTGCCAGTATGACCAGGGAGTCGACCTGTGGTGAGATTCCTGAGGGTGGGCCAAGGGGAGTGTGGGTTATGGGGTCACAGTTGTCTCCTGGGCTTTGAGGCCGCTCGGCTGTGTGGAGGTGTTTTCCTGCTGTGAGCTCTAAATTGCTCCGGGTGTTTTCCTCAGTTTGGGTGTCTCTGGGGAGTTCAGGGCCAGTGTTCCTGCCTGTGACAGTCTTGAGCTAGATGGAGATCAGGTGAGACTGGAGTGGAAGCTTCTGAGCTGGGGTGGGGGAGGTGGTCTGAGGCTCAAGGCATGGAGCACGAAGCTAGTGCGCACAGGATGACGTCCCAGATGGAACGCCCCTGAGGTGTCCAGGGCCTGGGTGTCTGCGCCTGTCCTTGGGATAGGATGGCTGGATATGCCTAAGAGTGTGAGATTCGGGAGCTGTTTCGGGGGCTGCATCCTGATGTGAGGAACGTGAGGAGGTGGCTGTGTGTCCCAGAGGCCATGCTCCCAGGAGTCTCCAAGCTGCTTTGGGGCTGCTGTGTGTTTTGGAGGCGAGGCCTGCATGCTGCCTGGAGGAGGATATGCTCTGGGTTCTAGGCAGGAGGTCTTTTGACTGTTTATGATTCCCTGATTATGGGTGTCTGCTGCACTGTGGGTGCCTTGGCCTTGTGGGGACCTTTGTAGGGGCTGTGTGAGAAGATGTGTGTCCCATAATGTAGGTGATGGAGCTGGTGTGGGGAGCTCTGTGTCCGTGGTGGAGGGGATGATGGTGTGGGAGCCCCGTGTCCATGGTGGAGGGGATGAATGTATGGGGAGACCTGTGTCCATTGTGGAGGGGATGAATGTATGGGGAGCCCCGTGTCCGTGGTGGAGGGGATGAATGTATGGGGAGACCTGTGTCTGTGGTGGAGGGGATGAATGTATGGGGAGCCCTGTGTCTGTGGTGGAGGGGATGAATGTATGGGGAGACCTGTGTCCATGGTGGAGGGGATGAATGTATGGGAGCCCCGTGTCCGTGGGGGAGGGGATGAATGTATGGGGAGACCTGTGTCTGTGGTGGAGGGGATGAATGTATGGGGAGCCCTGTGTCCATGGTGGAGGGGATGAATGTATGGGAGCCCCGTGTCCGTGGTGAAGGAGATGATGGTATGGGAGCCCCGTGTCCGTGGTGGAGGGGATGATGGTGTGGGAGCCCCATGTCCGTGGTGGAGGGGATGAATGTATGGGGAGCCCCGTGTCCATGGTGGAGGGGATAATGGTAGGAAAGCCCCATGTCCGTGGGGGAGGAGATGATGGTGGGGAAGCCCCGTGTCCGTGGAGGAGTCTCTGAACTGTGTGGGCTGTGTCTCTGCAGGGCCGTGGGCTGCATCCTGGGGGAGTTGTTGAACGGGTCCCCCCTTTTCCCAGGGGAGAACGACATCGATCAGCTGTGCTGTGTTATTCGCATCTTGGGCACCCCCAGCCCTCAAGTGTGGCCGGTTTGCAGGGGGTCTGCTGTTGGGAGGGTTGGGGGCAAGTACCCTTTGTCCCCCAACAGCTAGTGACACCCCTCCTGCACCTTCTCTTGTGGCCCCATGCCTCCTGGCCCCCACATACCCCTCCTCTGGTTCAGAGGCTCCTCCCTTCCCCCCAGCACACATGCTGTTCTCCCCAGGCTGGGGCTGAAGGACTGAGTGGGTCATGATGACCCAAGGGCTGGGGGGGCACATGATGGGGGGCTGTGAGTGAGCAGTAGCAGGTGGGGGGCTTAAGCTGCTGGGCTGGGGGAGCTGGTGGCCAGGTGCCAGCTCGGTGCGCCTCTGTCCCCAGGAGATTACAGAGCTGCCCGACTACAACAAGATCTCTTTCAAGGATCAGGCACCCATGCCCCTCGGGGAGCTGCTGCCTGATGCCCCCCCTCAGGCCTTGGACCTGCTGGGGCACTTCCTCCGGTACCCTCCACGCCAGCGCATCGCAGCCTCCCAGGTAGGGTACCCCATGGCCTGGCTCTCCCTGCTGGTGGCCCAGTGACCCACAGGTGGGGGTCCCTCATGACCTGGGGTGGGCTGGGCCAGGAGCCTGTGGATGCTGGGGTGCCTTCCATGAGCCCAGGCTGGGGCTGCGGGTGGGCGGGGTTTGCCTAGAAGGCACGACCCCCTCACATCTGGGTTTGGTGACTGGCTCCTTGGTCCCTCCAATGTTTGCTGAGCACCAGGCATGTCAGGTCATCGTCCTTGGCCTGTCCAGTCCCTGTGGGGGCTCGTCCTGTAGGGAGGCCGGGCATCCAGGCTGTGGGCGCTCAGGTGGGGGAGGGATGGGTTGGGCTGGCCTTTGGCGTCATCAGGGGGCCTGGGGAGGTAGGTTCAAGCACATGGAAGCACTGACCGAGGCCTGCAGAGGGGACCTAGCGGGGAGACTGCGGCGGGAGAGGTGGGGGCGCACTGCGGGCTGCAGGCCGATGGTGTCCACGCCTCCGTCAGGCGCCCCTGGCACCTGGCCTTGTGGCTGCCATCCCCCTCTGCCCTCAGCTCAAGTGGCATGGGTTTACGCTCGCCCCTGGGAGTTCCCATGTCAGCAGCGCCCCCACCCCACCGCTGGGGCATCCGACCCCTTCCCGGCCCCCTGCTGCCTGTGCGCTGCTTGAGTCCACTTCTCCTGGCCATTTGGTGCCCCTCCCTGGCAGGCCCGCCATACCTCAGAGGAGAAGCCAGGCCCTGTGGCCTACAGGCGTCACATGCTTGGGGGCATCATGCACACGCGGGGTTGTTACCGGGGTCTTGCCACCTCCTGTCCCGCCTTCCTCACTCCGCTTGGCCTCGGCGCCCCTCCACATCCCAGGACCTGTGCCCTTCTGCCCCTGCCCGGCTCCTGCACCACTGCAGTTGGCGTGTACGCTCCCTTCCCCGGGGCTCATTGTCCCACCGCCCTGGGCTCCCTTCAGCCGCTCCTGGCCCCAGCCCACAGGGTGGGAGGATGCCCTGAGGGGGCCTATGCCTGGTCCCTGCTGCCTTCCCTCCTCGGGAGCACTGCCCAGACACTGAGCACCAGATGGGAGTCCAGTGGGCAGCGGGGGTGAGGAGGAGGGCCTCTGTGGGGCAGCCTCTGCGTCCCTCCTTGGGACGGTGAGCGGAGCTGGGACCGGGAGGTCACTTGTCTCCTGCTGCGCTTTGCTTGCCACCCCCAGGCCCTCCTGCACCCGTACTTCTTCACAGCGCCCCTGCCTGCTCACCCCTCGGAGCTACTGATTCCTCAGCGCCCCAGGGGTTCTGCCCCCGAGGCACACCTGGGGCCCACCCACAGCCATGACTTCAACGTGGACCGGCCTCTTGAGGAGTCACTGTTGGACCCAGAGCTGATTCGGCCCTTCATCCCCGAGGGCTGAGATGCCAGGCCAGCCCCACTGGCCGCAGCCGCAGGGCCTGGGGCTTTCGTCCCCCCACTGCAGCCCGATGACCTCCCACAGCCTCCCATGGCCACCGTGGGCCCGCACCTGGCCCTGCTCCCAGGCAGGTGACCGAGAGGCCCAGCCCCAGCAGAGGCCTGCAGTCCCTACTCTCGGACTCCTGTTTGCTCCTGACTTACCGTCAGAGAGACAGCGGGCTCTGCCGCATGGTCCGTGGGGCCAGTTCTTCGCGGGCTGCCTTCCTGGTCCTGGACATCCTGGGGAGCATGGGGGGTGAGATGTCCTGGTGTCAGAAATTCACGTGGGAGGGGACGTGTGGTTTGGTTCAGAGACATTAAACTAGTTCATTTTTGAGATTTGTTGTGAGAAAACCCCTGGTGGTTCTGCCTGGTATCTGCTCCTGTCTTATTCCTGTCGCAGGAAGTAGCTGAGGTGACACAGTCTCCAGGCCTGGGTTCTCTGTGGTCACTGGGAGAGTGGCCCTGTTCATAGCTGCTCTGGCCCTGGGGGCTTCCCGGGACTTCACATGACAGTTCCCGTTTGGAGGGGAGGTGGCAGTACTCAGGGTCCCCAGCACGTGGGACAGGCCATCCTGGAGCTCACCTGTTAATCCAGGAAATCTCAGTTCAGTCTCAGCTGGCTCCTGGTTTTCATGGTAACCAGGTCAGCCGATTCTAAAGTGCACGTGGAAGTGACTAAGCTCAGGGGAAGCAGCTGACACAGAAGTGACAGAGAAAACCAGGGACAGGACATTAGGACTGACCTCGGGGCTGCAACAAGCAAGACTGTGGAATTGGTTCAGGGAGACACAAAAAATAGGCCAGAGACTTTTTAGCAATCCTTTTTTCTTCAAATACGCATTTTGTTTTTCATGTGGATAAACTTCTATAAGCACTGTGGACAAAAGTGGCTAACGCTGCCACAGTCACTGCCCTCCAAGCCCCTGGGAATACAAAACAAAATCAAACATCACTTCCAGGGAGAAATCTGACTGACTGGTATGTCTTCAGAGATGTCCTAAGGTATCTGGTCTCTGCCTGTTTCTCCAGCCACATCCTCTGTAGACTGTAAGTCCCAGGCTTGCTCAATTTTGGGTAGCTCTCACCCCCACAGAAATGTGAGCCTGTACTGACATCCTAACCTTCAGCCATCCCCACCCACAAGAGATTTTAAAGGACCCTCATCTTGACCTTGAGCCTTAGACTGAACCTGACACCCAAAGTAAATCTTGCATTTAACCTGACCCTTACTCATCACCTGCCCCAACCTTGGATTTGACCTTGACCATAAGCATTTAACCTGACCCTTACTCATCACCTGCCCCAACCTTGGATTTGACCTTGACCATGATGTATACACTCATTATCACCTAATTCTTTGTCAGACCCTTAACCACCTATACCTGACCTTGATCTTGGCTTTGATCCTGACCCTTACCCTCTGACCCTCACCTCAGCCTTGACACTGACCCATCAATACCAGTCCACATGATGCTCTTCATGACCTTCATTCTGATGCTCACCAGTAACATGACCTTTACACTCACCCTGACATTGACATATCTTTTGACAGTGATTCTTCTCACACTGAGGATGACGCAGAACACTATCAGGAATGAGACACCACCTGCAATCTGATTCTGACCCTCAGCCTCACTCTGCCTCTAGACTGAATTTTCACCTTGATCTTAAACCAGACCTTGAAATACATTGAAGCTGAAATTGAAATGAGTCTACCCCAAACCTGACCCTGAACACAGGCCTGATTTTGACACTGACGTTGATACAGATCTCAATTTTACCATGACCCTGAGCATGACCTGAGACTTGACCCAGACACATCAACTTGACATTGAACCTGACCCTGACCCACTCTCCCTGTTATTCTTGAATAACACTGCATTGGCCACTGCCTCTTCCTCACCCTGACACTGACCCACAGGCAGATCCTGCCCCTCACTTGGCTGTCACTGTTTGTACCACCCATCTCAGCCTTGAAGTTGATCTTGAACCTGACCTGGGCATTGGATTTCACACTGAAATTGGATTTCACACTGACATTGACCTTCGTCATTGTGCTAACCTTCATCCTCAGCCTGATAATTGCCCTAATCTTGACCCATCCTCATACTTAACCTTGAACCTGACCTTGACCTCAAGACCATGTGGGCAGGTAGAATAGTATCCCCCTAAAGATGTCCTTGTCCTAACCTATGAGTGTGTTTCATGTAGCCACAGGGACTTTGTAGATGTGCTTAAGGGGAGTACCGACCTTGCGATGGGAAGAGATCCTGGATTATGCAGGTTGGCCTAATGAGAGAGAGCAGCAGTGGAAACCAGCCTCCACCTTGACTTTGAACTGACCTTGACCACAAACATGCTCACATTGATCCTGACTCTGCATGTGACACTGACCCTATTCCTGAACATCAACCTCATCCTCACCCTGACCCTGAATGCTACCCAGACCTGGACATTCAACATGAATCCAACTCTTAATCTTCCCTCATTGTAGTGATGACCATTATTCTTACTCTGACCTTCGCCTTCTCACTGATCCTCTAATGGATTCTCACCCTGATGCTGGCCCTGATCTTGACCATAAGTCACACTGATCTTGACTGACCTATGGCACTGTGATGCTTAGCCTGACAAGCAATTTTACTTTTATTATGCTAGGGAAGGAGGTGGGGGAGGAGGTGCAGGTTAGGGAGTGGCTGCGGGCTGCAGACCCCCGGGCCGCAGGGAGGCTCTGCGGAGGGCTGAGGAACTCTGTGTCCTTGGTTAGCGGACTCTCACCACCTAGGTCTGGTCGCGGAGGTCCTAAAACTCCTTGAGAAGGCAATCCTTACTTCCGCGCATATCTCTGTACCTCCTGGAGAAGGAGAGCTTTAAGTAGGGCACTATTTGCAGAAATCTCAAATTGAAAACACATTTCCTTTTGATGATCAACAAGCCTTTAGGCAAGAATGAAGGGCTGGACAGAAGCCCTTTTTTTCCC